CTAAACCAAACCTAAATCAATACTAAACCAAACCTAAATCAATACTAAACCAAACCTAAATCAATACTAAACCAAACCTAAATCAATACTAAACCAAACCTAAATCAATACTAAACCAAACCTAAATCAATACTAAACCAAACCTAAATCAATACTAAACCAAACCTAAATCAATACTAAACCAAACCTAAATCAATACCAAATCAAACCTAAATCAATACTAAACCAAACCTAAACCAAAACGGCGGATGAGCTCGCGAAATACGCCGCGCTACACTTGAAAACTAAACCAGTGTACGATCAATGCCCGGTCTCATTCATGAAGAGACAAATCCGAGAGGACACTCTTCATGAATGGAATCGGAGGTACACGGAGGGACCCACCGCATCCGGTACAACCGACGTCTACATAGCCCAGAAATTTATAAAGTCAGAGAGCATAAACATGCACCTCACGCAAGTACTCACTGGGCACGGCGGGTTCTCGGAGTACCTGAATCGCTTCCGGTGCAAAGAGAGCCCGTCGTGTATTTGCGACCCGGACGTGGCGGAAACAGTCGTCCACTTAATTGTAGTGTCCGGTGCATTGTAGTGATCGACTTGAAATTGAACAAAGAATTGGAATCAAAATAGAAATTATGAAACTAAGTCAATTAATCTGTGAAAAAGAAACTAAACAAGACTTCATAAAATATTGCACCAAAATAATACAAAAAGTAAACTTTAGAAACAAATAAATTGTATAAAATTAAATTGTAATTGTATGTTTTGAAATATGCGGATATATACAATACTAAAATTAATACATACACAAAATCATCGAATCACTACAATGCCAAAGCAAATTCCTCGTATTCCTCGTAGCGACCTATAGTTTTAAAATAGAAAAAGAAATGTTGTAAGAAAAATGGAAATATTAAAAAATGTAATTTTAAGATATTATATATTGTAATTTATTAATGTAAATTTTTAAATTGGTAATGTAATCATTAGATAACGTAAAGAAAATGTAAACATAATTATATAAAATGTACAACGAAAAATGTGACAGATAGACAATGGAATGCGTATAAGAAGTGAAAATGATAATATATCGGAAAAAAGTGAAGAAATAAAATGTATAATAATAAGCATATAAGTAAAATAGAAGGGAATTAAAGTATAAGTATAAGAAGGGAACAGAAACGAATATTATATAAGTATGGAAAACGAAACATGAACCGTTGGGTTCATGTTACAAATAGTAAAAAAAGATAATTGGAAAAATAGCAAAATAGCCTAAAAAATGTCCCTGACAATTACTCGTCAGGGGAACGCGCAATAAAAAAAAAAAAAACCTAACCAAAACCAGTAAAAGCTGTGTACAGGGATCCGTGGCGGGGCCCATTCTGTGGAACCTGCTAATAGATCCACTGTTAACCAGCTTCAAACGGAGAGGGGATTACTGCCAGGCATTCGCGGATGATGCCGTGCTTGTGGTCGATGGAGAAACCGCACTAGAGATAGAAATGAAAGCTAATGCAGCACTTGGGCATGCTCAGGAGTGGGGTTTCAGAAACAAGCTTAAATTCGCGGCACACAAGACCAACGCCATTACCATAACAAGGAAACTTAAGTACGACACCCCAAGACTGAGCGTGGCGGGAGTCAGCATCGAAATGGCAAAAGAAATAAAAATACTGGGTGTCACAGTTGACGATAAGCTGACTTTCAACAGCCACGTCTCGAATGTCTGCCGCAAGGCCATAAATATTTATAAGAAGCTATCCAGGGCCGCTAGGGCCAGCTGGGGGCTCCACCCAGATGTAATTCGTACAATTTATACAGCCGTCATAGATCCAGTTATCCTGTATGCGGCCAGCGTGTGGGCACCCGCAGCAAACAAGGTGGGTACCCAGAAACAGCTGGGAATTGTACAGAGAGGCATAGCGCAGAAGATCTGCAGAGCATATCGCACAGTCTCTCTCCACTCAGCACTTATCCTGGCGGGTGTGCTCTCCCTCGACCTCAGAGTGCGAGAAGTGGCTGCATTATACGAGGCCAAAAGGGGCTCACCAGTTCCGCAACTGTGTGGCCGTGAGGTGGAGAAGATGACGTGGGCGGCCGGGATGCCACATCCTGCAGAGCACACTGGGATAGGGGTTACCCGCTTGGTGAACCAAGATGATGTCGAAATGCACATGTATTCGACATTCGAATCTTCACAGATGGCAGTAAAATCGACGCCAGAGTTGGGGCCGCACTCTCAGTCTGGAACAGTGACGCTGAAATAAAAGCTCGTAAACTCGTTCTGCCAAGTTTCTGCACGGTTTACCAGGCGGAACTCCTGGCGCTTTGCGTAGCAACTAAAGAAGCCCCGACTATCAGAGCCAGAACGTTTGGTGTCTACAGCGACTCCATGGCAGCTCTTCAAACCATACAAAATTACAGTTGCCTCCATCTCCTTGCAGTGCAGGCCAGAGAAAACATTAAACACATATCTCGTGAAGGAAAAACCATATGCTTGCACTGGATTAAGGCTCACGCAGGCTTGGAAGGCAACGAAAGAGCAGATGAACTTGCCAAAGGAGCAGCTATATACACCAAACGCAAACCGGATTATGACCGATGCCCGAGTGCATACATCAAGCGTGGTATTCGTACGGCCACGCTTGATGAATGGAACCGTAGGTACAAAGCGGGAGAAACGGCGTCGATCACAAAACTTTTCTTCCCGGACGCGAAGGCGGCCTACAAAGTTGTGCGAAAATTCGTACCAACATACCTGACAACACAAATCCTGACAGGACACGGTGGATTTTCCGAGTATCTTAGTCGTTTTAAATGCAAGGTGAATCCATCGTGCGTCTGCGACCCAGTGCAAGCAGAAACAATACAACACTTGCTTTTGGAGTGTCCAATCCATGTACTGGAGAGATTTGAATTCGAGCAAAGAGTACAACAAAACCTGACACTGGAGACCATTCAGGAGCTTATCTCGGGGAACAATAGAGAATTATTTATAAAATACTGTACAAAAATTGTAGAAAAAGTAACAAGTAGAAATAAATGAGCGTATGTAAGTTATGTTTACATAATATAAGTTATATATTAAGATAAACATAAAAATATAAAGTAAGTAAATAGTATAGTTAAGGAAATGTAAAAATAGTTATAAGATAGATAAGTATAAGATAAAAGATAACAAAAGCGACCCTTTGTGCTGTCGTCTGTGTTTTACCTAGGCGGCACTGAAAATTTCGGGAATTGACGAAGTGACACAACATTACTATTTAAAAATGTATTTAGTGCTTGTCGAAGTGTTCTCCGCGAAATTTGACACATTTTTCCATACGATGGAACCAATCATTGAAGCAACCATTCCATTCGGAAGTTGGGGTCTCCAAAATGGCCGTTTTGTAGGCGTCCACAGCTTCTTCAGGTGATGAAAATCTCTGTCCACGCAATTTATTCTTTATTTTAGGGAAAGTATAGAAACTGGAAAGGCCTCCCTTTTCAGTTTCACCAGGACAGGTGGGCGAGCAAAAGCTCAGCCAGGAGGGGTGGGATTTGCTAACAGCTACCCGAGCGCCTCCGAAGGAGACCTAACAGCTCAAGAGTAGCTGCTTCGCGAATGAATCTACTACCGGATCGGAATCGCGACCCGCTGAGAAGATCCGGCGAGAAATTCAGCGAGATGATTCATGGGTTAGGTTGCACGGCGAACTCTTTGTCGAGTTCGACGAGTACGGTTACCGAAGTCCCTAAGCCTGCTCCTAGTGTTAGAGCTGAAGGCGTCTAATGCAGAGGTTATTGGATCTGATGGATCCGTAAGGACGTGTCTAGGGCGTCGACGGTGACTGGCTCCTGCGTGATCAGGATTCGGGGAGTAGTCAGCGGCGGCAACGATAAGGCGATTATCATGACGCATAGCCTTATTGAAGTACCGTTCCGACGCTGACTTCATGTATTTCTGGATAGATTCGAGGCCCAGGTCGTCGTGTAGGTCAACGTTCCTCACAAACCACGGAGCTCCGACGGCTAACCTGCAAAAGCGGGATTGTAGAGATTGGAGGGTGTCTATGTGTGTGCGGGCCGGGTGAGCGAACACCACACTCGCGTAAGTCATGACGGGCCTTATGCAAGTTTTGTAAAGTGTCACCTTGTTCCGAAGGGACATTTTACTCCGCTTACAGATCATGGGGTAGAGTCTACCGAGGATAAACGCGGCACGGTCACGGACTGATTTTATATGCGGGCGGAATGTCATCGATGCATCCAGGGTAACGCCCAGGTAC